TAATAGCTCTGAGTTCATTTCCTTATCAATAAAATGAATCAGTGAGACCTATCATTTCTGTATAAATGATTTGCATGAGTTGAGAGAGAGAGAATAAATGTTTGTCAGGATGACCATAGCCCACCAGCAGTTATTTATTTATTTAGGGCAGTAGTGGGGTTTGAGACATGCTCTTGTTATACAGCTCAGACTTACCTCAAATTGAAAATGTGGTCTAGGATGACCTTAAACTTCTGCTTGTCCTACCTCCACTTCTTGAGTGCTGAGATTGAAGGTTAGTTTTGGGTGGTATTAGGGATCAAACCCAGGGCTTTATACATGCTAGGTAAACACTGTTCTAACTGAGCCAAATCCTTAGCCCTGTACTTAGTATCTTTTAGCATCTCTATATACCAGAGTAAGAACTGTTCTGCATACAGCATTCTGCCCTCGACCTACAGGTCACTGGACACTTCTCTTCCTTTTTCTTCTTTTCTTCTTTCTTTTTTTTGTTGTTTGTTTTGTTTTTTGAGACAGGGTCTCACTATATAGCCCTGGCTGACCTGGAACTCACTATGTAGACCAGGCTGCCCTCGGACTCACAGAGACCTGCCTGCCCCTGCCTCCCAAGTGTTGGGATTAAAGGCATGTGATACCACTCCTAGTTCATCTCTTCGTTTTACTAAAGATAAAGTTAGTATAACAAGTGATGTTTTATTTTGAAATTTTTATACATACATGCCATTATGCTTTGTTCTTATCCAGCCCGCTCCATCAACCCTTGCCTCCCTATTGCTGGCCCTCTTCCCCCTAAATAGTTTCTCCTGCTTTCATGTTACATACATTTTAGTACCTTCTCTTCCCACCCTTTCCCTAAACATTGTGTGTGTGCATGCATGGGTATGTGTGTGTGTGCTCATGTGCACATACTCAACTCCAGGGCATGCTAAACACATACTCTATCCCTAGACTACACCTCCAGCCCACTCTTCCCTTCTGAATTCTCTACAAAGCTTTGTCCCTTTGCTAACATGGCCCATTTTAGAAAGCTTGCATTGACCTTTCTTTCAAAGCTTCTGTAATCAAAGAAGACCCTTTATGTGGTCTGACACGCCCTGACTCTGAGGTCCTTGAGAACCCAAAGACCAAAGAATGCTCTTCCCAATAGCACTTCAGGTAATAGAACTGGAATTATTTTTTCTTTTAGGTGTAGCCTTTGCCTTGTAACTCTGGGTCATTCTAGGTTGTATGTAGGATGGTAAAAGATCACTCATTGAAAGCCATCAGAAGAGTTAGTAAGTATCCAGTTAAATTGACCCAATAATACAAAGACATCGTGGATAACATATTATCCTGTCTAAATGGCCAGCATGTATATCTCAATCCATATACTTAGCTTTGGAGTTCAATTGCTCAGGAAAGAAATTTGGGTGCCCAAGTCTATGATATTACTAGAAATCAAAAAGGAATGTGAGGATTGGGGTACAGCTCAGAGGTAGAGCTTGCCGAGTTTGCATTGCATGCAGAAGGCCCTGGGTTCAATTTCTAACATTCCAAAAGAATAAAAATGGGATGTAGAGTAAGCAGGGTCTGACTCTGAGAGACATCACAGCACCATGGAGGCATCCACAGCAGGAGAGTGAACAGAGGATGGGAAAGGAGAGCCAGAAGAGTCTTCTAGCTTCCGTTAATTCCCCTCCATTTTAGCAGGGAAATTGCAAGAACAGAACATAGGGCTTGGGTGTGGCTCATGGCAAGGCTTGTACTCAGCATGCACAAGACTTGAGCTCAATCCTCAGTGCTGAAAGAAAGCACACAGAAGTAAGCAGAGGAGGGTGCAAAGCTGAGAAGTACGAGGTGATCTCCTTCTTCCTCTGAATGTCTTTGCATCTCATTGCCTGCACCAGAAATCCAGTCTTTAAAGTATCTGATTTCTTTTTCTTTCTCTATGGAATATCTCTTCTCCTCCATGAACCAGCATGCACCCTGTTTCCCATCTCTCTCAGTTTCCACACACAGGTACTTTGAGCATTTGCTTAAATGAACTGATGGCCAGCCTTGAGGAAAGAATCAAGGCTCCCACCTGTTTCTGTGACAAAGTGCTGCGAGTGACTCAGCCTAACACCAGTAGAGCTGCCCCCAGTAAAAAAAAAAAGAGAGACTTTCTAGGAGCCACAATCGCTTGCCGCCAGACTCAGTCAAACTTGAACAAGCTGGCTTCCTGCCTTGGACTTTTGGGGAAAAAAACATGAGCTTCCAAAGTGCCCATATCTGAGGCATTTCCTAGGGGCTTCTGTCTAGCCTCTGTCATCTTTGTCCTTTGCCTGTCTTCTGTTTGGATTCACCTGCTAAAGAACTACAGTGAGGAAAATAACATTTAGTTCTTTGGATCTATGAACAACATTTGCCTGATACTTGATTTTAATATGTCCAAGAACACATCTGATCTTCCACTTTTCCTCCTCTTCCTCTTTTCATGTTCTTATGTATTTTAGGCTTGTCTTAAACTCAGCTATGTGACCGAGGATGACTTTGAACTCCATATCGGATACTCTTGCTTCCACCTCAGAGTGCCGGAGTTCATGTCCCCATGCCCAGCTCTCGTCACAATCTCCTGACTTGTTCTTCACAAGAGTGGAAAATTGTACCACTACCTGCTAAATGACCTCTGGCAATTCGCTCTGCCCCTCTGGATTTTAACTATCTCCTGTCAATCAGATAATACTGCTTTACCTGTCTGAAGTCAGAGCCCAGGAATGCAGAGGCGCTTGAGGATCCTTTCAACTCTAAGAGTGCTTGTCTTTCTTTTTCTCTCCTTTCTTTTGTGACACAGAGCTGGAGATTTTATTAAAGATATTTTAATATGGACTTAAGCATGGGGGTTAGGAGAAAAGAGGGGTTCAGAAGAAATGGGCTATGTGCTCCTTAAGAGAGAGAGGAGCCTCTCTTTTTCACTTTAATCCCGCCCTTTAGCAAAATATTTATTTTATTATTAATTATGTGTGCATGTGTTTACTTGTGTGTGGTTATGGGCACATAAATGCAGGTTCCTGCAGAGGCCAGAAGAAAAACAGAACTGGGGTCCTCTGGAAAGACAGTATGCACTCTTTTATTTATTATTATTAAT